GGGGGCTCTCAGACCCTCCTTGCTGCAGGATGCAGGTCAGCCCCAGCTGATGGTGAAGCCTGTCCAGGACTGATACTTGTAGGGCTGGACCTGCTCTCACCCCTGCCTGGAGGGGCTGGCAGTGCTGGGCACAGGCCTGACATGGTGCTACTGCAGGGAAACACAGGGACAGCTCTTACACAGGAGAGAGTCAGGAGCCTAAATGGGGGTGAAATGCAGCCTTTTAACTCCCCCTCTCAAGAGCAGAGCAAAATGCCCCATCCCTGCACCCCAGGCTCCAGAGCGAGTCAGGAGGTGTGGGCTGTGAGCATCAGGAAAGCCAGTCATGTCCAGGAACAAAGCCAGCACATGGTGCCAGGGAAGAACTTTTATTTCTCAGCCAGCACATCTCAGCAGGACCCAGCTGAGATGGGCTGGAGCAGATGAGTCAGAGCAGGGAGGCAGCAGGTGCTGCTGCAGAGAGAGGCTGGTGGTCCCAGGGTGAGGACAGCATTGTTCCGTGTCACTGCAGGGCCAGTCCCCAGCCCTGAGGCTCCCTCTTAGGGTTCAGCAGCCCCACTGCCTGTGCTCTGCCTCCTTGTCAGTGGTCTGGCAGCCTTTCCCCCATCCAGGGGTAACTGGCCCTGCTCAGGGCTAGCCATGTCCCAGGGTCATGGCCCCGAGCTCCCTGCTCTTGTTGCACTGCTCTGGAGGTGCATCCCCCCCTTCCCTTGCTGCTGTGGGGCAAGAAGGTGCTTCTGCCCCTCTGCCCAGCTCATCTGCCCCTGAGGGCCAAGCCTGGAGCACTGCCCCAGGGGTGAGGTTATCAGGGGTGATGTTGCCTTCCCCAGCATGTCCTTGGCCCCTGCCTGCTCACTGCTCCCTCCAGCTTTTCTCTTCCAGAGCCTGTCTGTCTGTTTGGTCCTCCAGCTCTGGGGGTCCTGCAGCTGGCCCCAGCCCCTCACTGGGCTGCCCTGGTGCTGGGGCTCTGCCTGGCTCAGACCTGGAAACAATCCCCATGCTGGCTCCCAGCTCCAGCCCCTGCCTGAGCCCTGCTGCCTCTGTCTCCTCTGCTGCCCCACACTGCCCTACAGCCAGCATTTCCACCTCTGCTGCTGGGCTCCCTTCCTCTTCATTCTTCTCCACTTTCTCCTCCTCTTCCCTCTCCTCTTTATCTTCCTCTTTGACCTTCTCTTTTTCCTTCTCCTCCTTCCTCTCCTCTTTTTCTTCCTCTTTGACCTTCTCCTCTTTTTCCTTCTCCTCCTTCCTCTCCTCTTTTTCTTCCTCTTTGACCTTTTTCTCCCTCTCTTCTTCCTCCTCCACCTTCTCTTCTTCCTTCTCCACCTTCTCCCTCTCCTCATCTTTGTCCTCTGTCCCCCTCTCTGTTCCCCCACCCTCTGGCTCTGTCCCACGAGTGTCCAGGTTCCCTTCTTCCCCCAGTCCCGTCCCATCCTTCACTTCCACCTTTGCCCCTGCAGGTTGCCCTTGAGCTGCTTCTCCTCCTGGTGCTGCCCCTTCACAGCCAGACCTGGGGGTCCCTTGTTCTGCTTGGTCAGCCCCCAGTTGTTCAGCTTTTGTGGTCTCTGCACCCTGTTGCCCTTGCCCAGGGGTTTCTGGGACCCCAACCTCACCCTGGGCTGCCTCCTCCCGCAGCATCACCCTGTCACCCACCTTCCCACTCTCCTGCCCCTTGCTGGCCCGCAGCCCCTGGGGCTGCTGGAAGAGCCCCTGGTAGCGCTTCCGATCCTCCACGTGCTTCTTCCTCATCCTCTCCCCCAGCTGCTTCAGCTCCTTCTTCACAGCAGCAGCCATGGAAGGGTCCAGGTGAGCCACCCGCATGAAGTCTTCCCGTGCCTCCCGCTCATTCCAGACAGCAGCGTGGGCCTTGGCCCGCTTGAAATAGGCCTTGGCATTGTCTGCAGGGAGAGGAGAGTCCCCAGCGGGGGTCCTGCAGCCACAGGAGCTCAGGGGACACAGGGCACACCTACCATCATAAGCCAGGGAACATGGGTTGGATGCACTTGGAGGTAAGGGTGGCATCATGGAGAGGAGGACCTGGGCCATGCAAATGCCACCATGGGCACCAGGGGACATGGGGTGCAGGGATCACCATGGGCAAGGGGACTTATGATGGGCAGGAGGGATCAGGATGATACGGGATAACATCACTGGACACGGGTTCTGCAGTGGACGTGGGGATCCAGATAGCACAGCTGCCATCCCAGGCAGAGGGACATGTGGTGGGTATTGTCACGGGTGGGAGATCCAGAGGACTGAGCCCCTTGGGGCTGTGGCCACAGTGGGGGAGTTAGGGGGAGCATGGAATGCAGGGCATGGGTACCATTGTGTTTCTGGATGAGCTCTGTCGTGTGCTCCAGCACCTCGTAGTACTCGCCCAGCTCCAGCTGGCACTGGCAGTAGTTGAGCACCAGCGGCGTGACCAGGCTCTCCAGCTTCAACCAGCTGTCCTCCCATGGCTTCTCCTGCCCCCGAGAGCCACAGTTCATGGCTGGGGCACCTAGGGCCCACAGGAAGTCCAGACAGGGAGGACAGGAGGAGGCTGGGTCCTGCTCACCTTGGCCTGCAGGTTCCTCAGGCAGATGACAGCTTCCTGGTACTTGGCTGCAGCCTGTGCAAACTCCTTGCGGAGGACGAGGCGGTTGCCCTCGCTGTGCAGCACAGGCACTGCTGCCAGCTTCTCCTCCTTGCTCATGGCCCAGGTATCACGCTTGTACGCTGATGGCTCCTCCCCCTGCACAGGCAGCAGGAGCTGAGCTGCCTGCCCTGCCCCCCCATGCTGGCAGCCATCCCCACCCTCCCCCTTACCCGGAACAGCTCCATGATGAAGATGAGGGGCTGCGGCGTCCGCTGCAGCTCGTCCAGGTCCTCATAGCCCGTGCTGTGGTAGTCAAACATGTTGCCCATCCCACAGCGGTGCTTCTGCCCTTCCAGGGGGTCCCGGCCCTCCGCGATCCTCCGCATGCCCCTGGAGACCAGGGCGTACATGCCCGTGTGCTGCAAGGAAGATGTGACACCTCTGATCCCTGTGCTTGCAGCAGGCCAGGCTGGAGCACCTCTGGGGTGCACGCTCCTGTTCCCTGGTTCTGCAGAAAGGAGTGGGCTCCCGTGGGCCTCTCACTCACGATGGCGTCACACCAGAACTCGGCCACCTCCCCGATTCTCATGGAGCTGAGCAGGGTCTCCCAGATCTCTATCTTGAACATCTTGCCCACGATGATCTCCATGGGCATGCCAGCCTCCCGGCTGTCATCGATCACTGTCCGCTCAAAGTCATCCTTCAGCGTCTGGAAGTGGAAGGTCATCTGCCCCAGAGAAAGCTCAGAGTGGAGCTGAGGCTGGCACTGCAGCAGGAGCCCTCAGTCCCTCTCCCAGAGCCAGGGCCAAGCTTGCTCCCAGCGAGGCGCTGGTTTGGTTGGCAGCTCTCCAGCCACAGCAGGACCCCCTGCCTCCTGCCAGCTTTGTCTCAGCCAGCAGCTGGTGGAGTGTCTCAAAGCCCATCAGTGCTGTAGCTTGCTGCTCTCTTTGGATGTCCCCCTCCCATGGTCTGCACCAGGACCTGGTGGGAATCCACACTCATCTGCCCATACCCATGGGATGGGGAATCTCAGAAAGGCCCAAGAGCTCCCTGTTGGCACCTCTCACTCCTGCTGGACACATTAGGAAAGGCTGATGTCCAGCAACCCGTGGTGGCCCAGAGGGAGGAGGTGGGTGACAGCACCAGCACAAGGTGACAGCAGTGGGCGGTGGCAGCTGTCACTGTGAGGGCAACGTGGCTGCTGTGCCCGAAATAGCCCTTCCCGCATGCCCCTTGAGAGGGCTCTCCTGGAGCTGGGATATGCCTGTACCACAGACCGGGAGCTCAGCTTCTGATTAGGGAATCTAAACCGTGACGGGCAGGGATGGCAGTGCTGGCCCCACTCCCCTCTCCCAGGGCTTTGGGGTAACAACCAGGACACCTTACCTTGCTCCCATCCTGCAGCTTCGGCAGCTCCCCTCGGCCTCCAGGCAGAATCTTCTTTTTGCCCCCTTCCACGTTCAGCTGGTAGGTTTCTTCCATGGCTGCTCCTGCCGGGCCTCAGGTCACGGGCACATGCACAGAGGAACGCTCTGGCCCTTCCCAAGCTCCACCTCTTCCTTGGTGTATCTCCCTTTCTTAACTATCTGGACACACACACCATGTCCCGCTGCTGCTGCTGGCCTTTCCCTTCTGGGCTGGGGCAGAGGTTGGAAGCCTTCTCCCCTTCCCCTGCCCCTGAGGTTGCAAGAGGGGTGTCCTGTTGTGGCACACCTTCCCTGAAGCTCCTGGTGCCCTCTGTCACACTCTGGAGCTGCCTTTCTAATCCTCTTCCCACCCTGCCAGGTTAATCTGGGATTTGCCTGCCCAGTCTGTGAGGAATTAAAGAAACTCCCTGATTAGAAGGGCCTTGTTCCTCTCACAGAGTGGCAGCTTGCAGGGTCCCCCTGGCACGCAGGGTCCCTTTGATCCAGCCACACAACATGCAGTGCTTGGTGAGAGCACCAGCCAGGACCTGCCAGGGACAAGATGGCCAGAGGCAGTGCCAGCCTGTGCTTTGGAGACCACAGAAGATCAGAGAAGTTAGAAATGGTACTTTATTGAGTCTGGTTTGCAGACACAAGCATTCCTCAAACTCAAGAACAAGCTCCTACCAGGCCACAACCCATCAAGTCCAAGACTCAGTAAGATGCAGAAAGCTGCACTGCACTGCCCTATCCCAAGCAGAACTAAACCCCTCTGGGACAACAGTGCTGAATATTTGCAGCAAATCCGGTGTTTTTGCTGCTCTCCCGGGCGGAGTCCAATTCTTTAGCTCCAACAGCCACACTCAGCACAAGGTACGTGAGAGCAGCTCTGGCCACAGAGCCTCTAGCACTGTCCAGAGGCACATCTGGCAGCAAAAGGGTGTGACTAGAGGAAAAACTTGAGCATGGCAGACAACACTTCCAGGTCTGTGGTAGGCATAAAGATCCAGGCCTGCTCCTCATTTCTCCATGAGGGACTCCAGCTGCTCCTGCAGGGACGTCATCTGGGGAGAGGGAGCGAGGCATCACAGTGAGGCATAGCTGGGTCTCTTGGCAGCTCCAGCCCAAGAACTTCTGTGACTCTGGGGTTCTTCCACCTAAGTCAGTGGCTGCTTTACCTGCACCTTGCACCTCTGGGGCAGAACTCAGCACTGCCCACAAGGGAAAGCTGCACAACAGGGACCCGGGAGTGGGAGCTTCCTGCCTCAGCGCTTAGTTGAAACTCAGCAGAACTGTCCAGGTCGGAAGCCTGCCAAGATGCTCCAGCTACTGCTTTCTCAAACCTGGTTGCTAGCAAGTGTCTGTGTCATGTTTTACCCTAGGGAGCAATCCTAGCAGCCTTGGAGTGCTGGCTAGACATGTTTTGGCTCACTGCTCCTCCAGGAGGAAGGCTGTAATCAACCCCATTTCATGCACCTCCATGTGCCTTGGGAAGCTCCATGCAAGCACAGATGAGGTATGACCACACCTGACCTGTACTGCTGGAGTTCACAGCACCTGGTGTGGTTCAAGGTTCAGGAAACTATCAGAGGCCAAGCCTAGAACTGTGTTGTGCCCCAGTCCTTCCCACCTCACTGTGCAAGTTTCCTCACCTGCTGCTTCTCTCGCTCTTCCTGCTGCTTGAACTCATCCAGCACAGCCTGGAGACGGGTCTGCAGAGACACAAGTGCCAGACCACAGTTACCAAAGTTTTCTCAACTGAACGGGTGCTGGCAGAACATGCCAAATGATGCAGTAAGCCCCAAGTTGCACTGACAAACAGCCCCCTGACCTGCAGACTATGGATTCTTTGCCTCCATGGGGAAATGCTGGAGTGTGTATGGTCACACCACAATTATTTTTAACCCAGAAGGTAAAAGCCACTGGCTCTTCCAGGTCAGCAGCTGAATCAGTCTGCTGGATATAATGGCAAGCCAGTGCTAAGCAGAAGACTTAAGAGACCCCAGGACAGCTCTCACCTTGAGGGCTAGGTTCTCCACTTTCATGATGAGATCTTCCTGGCGCTTCCTCCTGTCCTGGGTCTCCTGGAGCTTACTTTTCAGGTTGTCAATCTGTTTCTGGATCCCCATGACTGGAAGGGAGAGTGAGGTCAGACCCCAGAGCAGCAGCAGAGCTGGGCAGTGCAGCCTGCCTGGCACCTCAGTGATCCTGCTGTGCTCTGCCACCCACGCACCTATCTGGTTGGACCCCTCATTCTCCTGTTGCTGCCCATCAGACTCATTCAGCTTGTCCTGCAGTTGCCTCTCCAAGTCTTCCTCTGTGTCCATGATATTCAGGTCTTCATCATCATGATGATCCCTCTCATCTTCATCTTCACTGCTGCTGCTGATGTCATTAAATATCTCCCGCAGTTCATCATGTTCTGGAAGGGTGCAAAAGGGTTAAAACACAGCTGATGACCTCCCAGCACTTTACCTGCCAGGGAACACAGCAGTACAGGGTTCCTGTCTCAAAGCCCTTTGTCCATCACTCTCTTTAGGGCTCACCCCAGAGAGAATGGGCCCAAATGACTATGTGGCTAGAAAAGTAGCAACAGCCCCCCCACTGCACCTGAGGAGCCATGGCCTTGCTTGTGTCCTGACATCCCTGGGGAGGAGATGTCCAGGCTGGTGAGCGAACCATGGTTGTCCACTTCTTTTGTTTCATCTTCAGCAATGACTTCCCAGCCTTACAGCAGGAACAGGTGAGTCAAGGGAGAAAGAGGAACACAAAAGGTGCTGTACAATGCAAGGAGTCTGACCTCCAACAAGCCCGGCCTTGCAGCTATGGATATCCAGGATGAAACACTCCAAAAACCTTTTTTTGACGACTCCTCCTCTGGTACTACCTAACTCCCTGCTCTGCACAACAGCACAGTTCACACAGAAGGTCACCATGAAGAAACTATGAGCTTTGAAAAAGGCAAAGAGGAAGCTGCAAAACTTCAGTGCCTCTTGGGTACCCATCTCCCACACACAATGCTGAACTTGTCTCTCCTTTCTACAAGCCCCATAGTCACACACAGCCTCTTGTCCTCTGCTGGAACTTTTTGCCTCCTAAAAGGATACGGACACTGACAGCTTCTGCATCTGTGCTCAGGAGACGCTTCACCTCTTTCTCCACATCAGGAGACTCGATATACTGGGCCAGAGAGGGGAAAGAGAACAGAGACACAGTCAAATGCCTTGTGCAGGCAACTCCAACCTTCCACCTCTGGACAGAGCTCTATTTCAAGCCTTTCTTCTCTTCTGCTCTCTGCTCAGCCTTTGCTCACACTCACCCTAAAAGTCATTTAAGCACCTCCAGAAAGCAATCCATCTTTTCTGGACAGAGCTCCTTGGTGAGCTACATACCCTCACTTTTCTACTTACACTGATTATGAAATAAGACTCTCCATGTGTACACAGAAAGTCATCAAGGTGCTGTTACCTGATGAATGGTCAACTCAGCTCCTTCCCACCTCACTTAAAAGGTTTAATTTTTCACTTCTAAATTACCCAGGAATCTTAATGCAGTGACATCAAATCTTTCCTGTGGGCTGTAAGAATATCTCAAGTAACTTTCCCAAATGTCATGCAAAACAGCACTCCATCTTGTTCTCAGAAACTGCAAAGCAGAGAAGAACAAGTCTTTCCAGCCTCATAGTGCTGCTTCTCCCCAACACCTTGCTGGGCTTGTGCATATGTAGAGACAGTCTCTGAGCTCCATCTGTTGTCACTCCCCCAGCTGACATGACAGTTATTCTATTTGTAGTGTTGTTTGTTGGGGAAATGAACAAGACATGCATAGAGAGAAGATTTCAGCTGGGAAAGTGGGAATGACTGTAGCCTGATTTCCACACAAGACTTCCTTTCTTCCCTACCAGCAGGAAGGGAAGGGCTATGGCAAGGAACAGAGTCCAGCAGCTCTCTGCATAGAGGATTTTCTTCTCAGTAGTATCTTGGAAAACATGGAGGAAGCACCCAAAGAAGTGTTTAAATCTACTCTTCTTCCTTCACCCTCATCTTGAGTAAGGACATCTGAAGCAATAGACGGTTACAGTCTCTGCCTTCCTATCCCTTGGTTATTGCATCTGCATGAGAAGCAACTCACCTTCTTCTTGGCTGTCTTCCGGAATCGTCTCTTCCGTACATTTTTCAGGGGAAGAGTGACTGTGACAGAGGAAAGAGAGCAGATGTGTGAGGCAGATGCCTAGAGGCAGAGCTATGCCAAAATGGAGAAGAGAGAGGAACAGAGAGAGCACTAAAAACAGAACAGCAGCAGAGCCAGGACACAGCAGCCTTGCAGAGCTGTGGGGATGCTGGGGTGGTGGGATGGAGGGGTTTGGCACAGCCTCTACTCACTGCCATGGTTCCAGATGAACTTCTTCTCTCTGTCCTTGTCCTTCTTCTTGTTTGCCTTTGGGTCAGTACTCACAGTTTGCTCTTCCAAAGGTGGGTAGAGATCACCATCCACAGTGCAAACAAGCATCTGGAATTCCCACACAAACACAAAGGGTGCTTATCATAATGCAAGGACAAAAGGATACGAAAGCTTTTCCTGGAAAAAGAGCAGGGACTGCCTGCTGCATGTTGGGAGCCAAAGGGATCTTGGGCACAGGCTACAAGAACCACAATGTTTCACACCCAGCCCAAGCAACAGTGTTATATTGGGTGTCCAGCTGCCCAAGCCTACAAGGGTTTTCCTGGAGAGGGAAGCAGGAAATTAAGCTGTCGGAGCAAGCAAGACGGACAGCCCATACCTGGCAAATATCTGCTGTCTTATAGAAGGTTTTCTTGTCAATGGTTTTTAAGCTCTCAATGATGCAGGGCAGATCCACCAGCTTGGCTGCCAGGGGCACCCGGTCCACGCGCACGATCCCATGGCGCCCGTCGGCTGCGGGAACCACGGGACAGGTCAGGGCCTGCACAGCTGGAGCAGCAACATGCTCCTGGGAGGCAGGAATTCTACAGGAACACACATGCTGCAGTCAGAGCAGGTCGAAGATGCCCTGACCCTGCTCACTCACCGTGCAGCTCGATGGTGAGCCTGTCCTTCAAGTTGACGTTCCCGGACTGTACTGCCCGCCGAACAGTGGAGGCATATTCCTGGGAAGGGTGGGCAGATTGATGTCAGGACTGGGTTGTGCTTCCTCCAAGAATCACTGAAGGCTTCTGTCCAGTCTACCCAGCTTTAAACACCCCTACATCCCAATGCGGAAAAACAACTGCAAGAGCTGCAAGGAAGACTGCACCCTCCTCCCAACACCACGCACCAACCCAGTGGTTCTGCTACCCCAGTGTCCTTCACAGCCCTGATACAGCTGTGACACTGGTGTGAGGCCCCGACAGAGACACCCTGCCAGAGGGCACAGCTCTGGGGGAAGCTGCAGCTCCCCTTTAACAAGAAGCTCTCGTGGTCTCCCAGTCTCAAACGTAAGTGTCTAACAAACAGCATCAGGTGCACGGACACACAGAGCGACTAAAGACCCAGCACTTGCTAAAACTCTACCCTTACAGGAATTCCCACCCTAATCCTCCAGGTTGTCTTCCCAGCCTCCCACTCGGCGCTACGGGAGCACCTCTCAGCAGGAGACCCTGGAGAACCT